CTTTCTATCGTCAGTAAGTCGGCGGGGGCCACCGTGGCGTGGCTTTCAGACTCCGCGTCACTCATGTCCAGACTTGCTATCCCGCTCTGTGAGCGGAGCGCAGCCATGCACCTTCCCCACCACTTTGGGCGGGCCGGGTGGGACAAAAAGCTATCGAGAGATCTCGACTTCTTAAGGCAACAACGCATAAAGCTGTGCTTCCTTGTTCATGTGACTTGTGTACGCAAGACTCTGCTAGACTCAAGACGCTTGGCTTGAACCTTGGCGCGGGTTGAGGAGTGATCAGTCACGTCCCTGCGGGACTCACTTCGGCTTTAGTGAATAAGCTATCACGAGGACTCGTGACAACACTCTGGGCAGCCTCTCTTCCAGGCCATTTGCATTGGTTCGCTTCATTCGCACAGGCTTGCATGATGGGATGTCCATGGATGGTGATGGCGCACACCATTCTTTGGGGTCGCTTCGCCTTCCTTCGGGCTTAACTGGGGGGGGAATTGCAAACCCGCTGAAAGGGTTGGGGGGCGCGCAGTCCCTTCTTCCACGGGTTCGCTTCACTCACACAGGCTTGCACAACTGGATGTCCGTGACTGGTGATGGCACAGCATGGGTATCGGGTACGTACGTATATAGGTTCGCGTGCGGAGAAGGGTTTTCTGCGGGGGCAAAGCCCGTTCCCCCTTTGCAAACCAGCTGAAAGGCAATGCTCGAGACAGGAATGTTCGGGTTGGGGGGCACGCCGCCCCCTTGTCCAGGCAATCGAACGGGTTCGCATGATTCGCACAGCTTCGCATGGCGGGATGTCCATGCATGGGTGGTGATGCACACCATAGGTTGGCGCGGCTTTGCAGTTCCGGCGGGCGCATCCCCCCATTTGCAGCGCAGTGCTCGAATACGGATTGCGGGGGTTGGTGGGCGAGCAGCCTCCTCTTCTTCCAGGCATTCGCACTGGTTCGCTTCATTCGCACAGGCTTGCATGATGGGATGTCCATGGATGGTGATGGCACGCCATTCTTTGGGTCGCTTCGACTTCTCCGGAGTTAACATGGGAGGGACTTGCAAACCCGCTGAAAGGGTTGGGGAGCGCGCAGCCCCTTCTTCCGGGCATTCGCACGGGTTCGCTTCAGCGGGGGAACGAGGCACAGACTGTGCCTCAACAATGACAATACCCTTCCAGGCAGGTTTGCACGGGTTCCCAGCCCCCCGCCCCGTTTGCAACCAAATCTACTCGAAAAAATGGGCTCTTGGAAACTCTTCGTTTGCGACCAAAAGCGCGTAAACTGCAGCCACATTTCAACCAAATTCTCGTATGACTGGGCTCTTGGAGGGCGCATCCCCCTTTTACATTGGGCAGCCTCTTCTTCCAGGCATTCGCACTGGTTCGCTTCATTCGCGCAGGCTTGCATGCTGCATGCTAAACGAGTGTTTTTTACACTCTGCAAAATTTAGGTAAAAAGCCTTGATTTAGACAACAAAATTAGGTAAATCTGTACGTAAAGTCTAATTGTAAATTTACATGTGATGAAGATTTTTGCATGACGTGTCAAATTTAGTTGCTTGGCATGTAATTTTTTCTACCTTGTGTTTTGCCTGCGAAAATCTGTTCTTTGGCGGCTTGGTTTTGCAGATTATTTTCGCCTTTCATTGTGTATGTGGCGCTTTCGTGTCGCTGGCTTGCTTCCGAGATGCTTGCGATTTGCATGCGGAGTCCTGACATGAGTCTAGTAGCCCTGCTATACTTTCGAAGCAACCAATCTTTTTTTCGATCTGGCCTGCGGATTGCTTTGTCAGCTTTATGTGTGCGATTGGCTGCACCCATGCAATGCCCTTGTCTCTCCTCAGGCCTCGTGGTAAGTAGAGTTGGCTTTTCTCTTTCACCAGTTAGTGCGGTGGCCTGTCTCGAGGCCGCTTTTGCGGCGAAGTCGTCCGAGCGCCAAGAACTCGAAGAGCTATGCGAAAGCACGGGTCGTTGCAGACCCCAACCTCGGGGTGGACTCCATTGCCAAGGTGCTGAGGGAGTACATGGACCGTCCAAGTCCAGCTACTTGCCCACATGGTCCACATCAGTGAGTGGGCCATGGCTTCTCAAAACCGTGGGGCTACTCTACGACTTGCTGGTGATAGCTCCGAATAGCAAATTGCTGGCGGTCAAGGTGCGGTCGGCACGAATGATCTCACGAATTCGACAAGCTTGCCCTTACGGTCAGGCTGTTGATGAACCATATCCGGCAGGTCAAACAGGATGACAAGCTGAGGTCGAGGTTGCGGCGGCTGCTTTCCCGAGCTGAGCAGATCAAACTCGAGCTCTGCTTAGAGTAGGTGGACCTCCAGTTGAATTTCGAGCCGGAGTCCAAGTCCGGTGGGGCTGCTGAGGTGAACCTGTTGCAGCTTGTTCCGCGGAAGCCGTCTTCCGAAGCCGCAGAGATTGCCAAACCGGTTGCCACACCCCCCGCCAGTTGCCAGACCGTTCTCGCCGACCAAGCCTCTTTGTCGTGATTCGCTATCTCGTGTCCCCCCCGTCGTGGAGAAGATCCTCGGTCGTTCCTTGCTAAAGGATCCAAAGGCACAGCCCCAGAAGTCCCTGAAGTGCCGGAAGTCCAAGAAGGCAAGAAAGCCAAGAAGCTGCACGTCAAGAAGGCCATCACGAAGCCAGTGTCCCCTACCCTCTTTCGAGCAGCTTGCTCCTGCTTCTGAAAGTTTCTAGTTCCTTTCGTTCTGTTTGTTCCTTGTTCTCTACTTCCTTCCGAGCTGTTTGCTCCTAGTTTTCAAACTCTCTAGTCTCTTTCGAAACTCTCTAGACTCTAGTCTCTTTCGAGCGGGTTGCTCCTTCTTCTGAAATTCTCTAGTTCCTTTAGAGCGGTGTGATCCTTCTTTTCAAACTCTCCAATCTCTTTCCAAACTCTCTAGTCCTTGTTCTGAAATTTTCTAGTTCCTTTCGAGCGGCATGCTCCTTGTGTTCAAATTCTCTCTGGTCTTTTTCAAAATTGCCCTAGTGTCTTTCGAGCGGTTTGCTCGTTGTCTTCAACTTCTCTAGTCTCATTCGAAGTTCTCTAGTCTCCGTCGAGCGTTTTTGTTTATGTTTTCGAAATTTCTGAGCGGTTCTCGCCTTGTTTTTCTCTAGTCTCTTTCCGAGTTCTCTAGCCTCTTTCGAGCGGCTTGCTCCTTGTTCTGAAATTCTTTAGGTCCTTTCAAGCGGTTTGCTCCTTGTTTTCAAATTCTCTAATTAGTCTCTTTCGACGTCCTCTAGTCTGTTTCGAGCGGTTTGCTCCTTGTTCTGAAATTTTCCAGTTCCTTTCGAGCGGTTTGCTCCTTGTTTTCAATCTCTCGAGCGTTGCTCGAGGTTCTCTGCCTACAGTCTCCTTCGAGAGGTGTGCTCCTTGTATTCAATTTCTCTTGTTCCTTTCGAGCGGCTTGCTCCTTGGTTTCAGGCTCTTTAGTGTTTTTCGAGATTATCATCTATAGTCTCCTTCGAGCGGGTTGCTCCTTCTTCTGAAATTCTCTAGTTCCTTCCGAGCAGTTTGCTCGTTGTTTTCCAAAATTTCTAGTCTCTGCCGAGACTCCCTAGTCTCTTTCGAGCGGCTTGCTCCTTCTTCTGAAATTCTCTAGTTCCTTTCGAGCGGTTTGCTCCTTGTTTTCAACTTCTCTAGTCTATTTCGTAACTCTCTAGTCTCTGTCAAGCGATTCGCGTCTTGCTCTGGGGTTCTCTAGTTCCTTTCGAGCGGTTTGCTGTTTGTTTGCAAACTCTCTAGTCTCTATTGAATTCTAGTTCTTTTCGAACGGTTTGCTATTTGTTGTCAAATTATATAGTCCTTGTTCTGCAATTCTCCAGTCTCTTTCGAGCGGCTTGCTCCTTCTTCTGAAATTCTCTAGTTCCTTTCGAGCGGTGCGCTCCTTGTTTTCAACTTTGCTGGTCTGTTTCGAAATTCTCTGATCTCTTTCGAACGGTTTGCTCCTTCGTCTGAAATTCTCTGGTTCCTTTCGAACGGCTTGCTCCTTTTCTTTCGAGCGGTTTGCTCCTTCTTCTGAACTTCTCTAGTTACATTCGAGCGGTGTGGTCCTTGTTTTCCATTTCTTCAGTGTATTTCGAAATGTTCTATAGTCTCCTTCGGGCGATTTGCTCCTTCTTCTGAAATTCTCTAGTTCTTTCCGAGCGGTACTCTCT